CCCTCTGGCGCTGGAAAGTGCTGAGGCCCAGGCCTTGATGGGCCACAGGCATGAGCATCTGGTGTTCTTCTGGGTTTTCATCCAGAGTAGGTCTGAACAGATCCAAGCAAAAAGGGAAAAAAAAACAGTCCGGGGAACTTCCCTGCCTCAGCTAGCTAAAAAACTAACAGCAAAGGAGAGCTCTGTCTTGCTGTCTGTCCGTGCTGCAGACAACACAGTCCAGGGGCAAGATGTGCGGAAGTGAGGGCTCTTTCTCAACACAAACTGCACACTACTTCTTCCCCACCTTCACTTTCGGAGCCAGTCTTAAAGATGCAGAACATAAAATGTAACATAAACAAGGCAATTGGGGAACAAGCATCACAAAGTCACCTCATGAAATTCCACCCCTTATCCCCATATCTCAACTTATTACCAAAACTAATATATATTAGAAAAGGGTAGTGACATTCAGCAGTGATACTTACTCATAGGTCTCACCCAGCAATTAGATTTCCCTGAGATATACATTGTTTTGTTCCATCTTTCTGCATTATCCACCATGTGCAACCTGGTCCCTGAACAAAGACAACCCCACAAATTGATTTGTCTGTGTTCAAAGCAGAATTGATCCAAGCTGTCTTCCCTAACAAACCTCTGACATGTACCACTGGGACTTTGTATCCATCTACTGTATGCAGGGACTCATACAGTAGATGGGCAGAGCCTGCTCAGTTGTTGGAACCTCGGGTGTTAACTAACCAGGTGGCCTTTCCTAGATGCTGTTCCCACCCATAGATCCCCACCCCATGCTTTCATGGTGGTTTTTAACAGTCCATTTTACTTCTCCACTTTCCCAGCTGCTGGTGCATGGTAGGGGATATGGTACACCCCACCCAATGTCATGTTCCCTAGCCCAAGTGTTTGTAAGGTTATTCTTGAAATGAGTCCCATTGTCTAACTCAAACCTCTCAGGGATACCATGCCTCCAAAGGACCTGCTTTTCAAGGCCCAGGTTGTGTTCCAGGCAGTGGTGTGAGACACAGGATAGGTTTCCAACCATCCAGTGGTGGCTTCTACCATTGTGAGGACATAGCGCTTGCCTTGGCAGGTTTGAGGCAGTGTAATGTAGTCAGTTTGCCAGGCCTCCTCATATTTATATTTGGTCCATCGCCCACCATACCATAGGGGTTTCACTCGCTTGGCCTGCTTGATTGCAGCACACATCTTACAGCCATGGATAATCTGAGAAATGCTGCCCATGGTTAGATCCACCCCTTGGTCTCATGCCTGCTTATAGGTGGCATCTCTACCCTGATGACCTGCAGCATCATGAGCCCATTGAGCTAGGAACAACTTGCTCTGGTATTGCCAATCTAAAATCTATCTTTGACACCTCTATCTTTGCAACCTGATCTACCTGTTTATTGTTTTGGTGCTCCTCATTAGCTTTGCTCCTGGGGACATAGGCATCTACATGATGGATTTTCACAGGTAGCTTCTCTATCTCAGTGGCAATGTCTTTCCACTCTTCAGCAGCCCAGATTGGTTTTCCTCAGTGCTGCAAATTAGTCTTTTTCCATTTCCCCAGCCATCCCCACAGAGCATTGGCTACCATATATGAATCTGTGTAGAGGTAGAGCTTTGGCCACTTCTTTCGTCAGCAATATCCACGGCCTATTGAATGGCTTTGAGTTCAGCAAGTTGGCTTGATCCACCTTCTCCTTCAATAGCTTCTGCAATCTGTCGTGTTTGGCTCCATACAGCTGCTTTCCACTTCCGGTTCATCCTTACAATGTGACAGGAACCATCAGTGAAAAGAGCATAACGCGTTTCTTCTGCTGGTAGTTCTTCAGCCCATGTCTCTTGTTCTTGCTCCTCTTCATCAGTAATATCAAAGTTTTTACCTTCGGGCTGATTTGTAATTATTTCCAAAATCCCAGGGCGATTTGAGTTTCCAATATGGGCGCGTTGTGTGATGAGGGCAATCCACTTGCTCCATGTGGCATTGGTGGCATGGTGGATAGAATGAACCTTTGCTTTGAACACCCACCTCAGCACCGGTAGTCGGGGTGCCAGCAGCAGTTGTGTTTCCATGCCAAACACCTCTGAGGCAGCCTGAACACCTTCATAGGCTGCCAAGATCTACTTCTCTGTTGGAGTGTAGTTGGCTTCGGACCCTCTGTAACTTTGGCTCCAGAATCCCAGTGGTCGGCCTTGAGTCTCACCGGGCACTTTCTGCCAAAGGCTCCAGGACAGACCATGGCTCATGGTGGCAGGGTAGAGCACATTCTTCACATCTGGTCCTGTCCTAATTGGGCTAAGGGCTACTGCATTAGCGATTTCCTGCTTGATCTGGGTGAAGGCTTGCTGCTGTTCATGGCCCCGGTGGAATTCATTCTTCTTGCAGGCAAGCAGGTAGAGAGGGTTCACGATCTGGCTCTACACAGGAATATTCTCCAGAAGCCTATGGCACCTAAGAAAGCTTGTATTTCCTTCTTGTTGGTTGGTGGAGACATTGCTGTGATCTTGTTGATAACATTGGTGGGAATCTGACACCGTTCATCTTGCCACTTTATTCCCAGGAACTGGATCTCTCGAGCAGGTCCCTTAACTTTGCTCTTTTTGATGGCGAAACCGGCTTCCAGCAGAATCTGGATGATTTTCTCTCTTTTCTCAAACACCTCTACTGCCGTGTTCCCCCACACAGGAGAGAGATGACGGGTTTGTCTTTACAAATAAGCTGTGGGTCTGCTGAAAAGGTGAAACTATCACTGATAGATAACAGAAACAATGGGATAGAGGTCCATTGAAGAATGAAAAAGGCACTGAGGAAGCACCATGAATTCCACAAGAGTTAAGAATTAAGAAGGGATTATGCATTGAGGGGGGGAGTATCCCAGGTATCAGGCATTCCGGGAAGCCTGTACCTCTCAAGTACCTCAGCCTATGGGGAAAGAGAGAAGGGATAAGCGACCAGGAATTAGGATAGAAGGGAGGCTGCGCCCTCCAAAAATTTGAGAGACCCCAGAGGAATGCCCCATGGCCTCTGCCGTTATTCAAATAAAGTAAAAGGACTCCTCTGTCTCCTCTTTGGACATAAAACTATGGTGTTTGTGAATTAATTTTCCTGACACAATGATGTTATCAATGTACTGCAGATGTTCTGGAGCTTCACCCTTTTCTAGTGCAGTCTGAATCAGTCCATGGCAGATGGTGGGACTGTGCTCCCACCCCTTGGGCAGTTGGTTCCACATGTATTGCATGCCCCTACACATGAAGGCAAACTGAGGTCTGCATTCTGCTGCCAGAGGAATGAAGAAAAATGCCTTGGCAATATCAATAGTGGCGTACCACTTTGTTGTCTTGGACTCCAGCTTGTACTAGAGCTCCAACATGTCTGGCATGGCAGTGCTCAGCAGTGGAGTCACTTCATTGAAGGCACGATAGTCCACAGTCAATCTCCATTCTCCTTCAGATTTGCACACAGCCCAAATGGAGCTGTTGAAGGGTGAATGGGTTTTGCTGACCACCCCTTGACTCTCCAGGTCACGAGTCATCTTCTGGATGGTAATCAGCATCTCGAGTTGTACTATACTGCCAGTGGTGCACTGTTGACATGGCAATTGATACTCGTTGCTCTTCCCCCTTCAGAAGTCCTATTGCAGATGATTTCTCTGATAGTCCAGGCAAGGTGTTCAATTGCTTGATGCTCTCTGTCTCCACAGCCGCTAACCCAAATGCCCACCTGAGTCCCTTTGGGTCTTTGAAATACCCAGTTCGGAGGAAGTCTATGCCCAAAATGCATGGGGCCTCCGGGCAAGTCACAACAGGGTGTTTCTTCCAGTGGCTTCCAGTCAGGCTCACATCAGCTTCCACCAAAGTAAAATCCTGTGATCCACCTGTCACGCCAGCAATAGAAACAGATGCTGCCCTGTCGCTCTATTGGGAATGGCGAGAAGAACGACACAGACTCTCTCGTGGAGTCAAACTGGAGAATTTCTCCCAGTTTATTGCCTCAGATTTTTTTATAGACTGATATGTGAAAGTACAGAAAAGAAAACTCTTATTGGTTAGTAAACTAACACATCACCATCATTGGTCAGTGGGGTATACCACCCCTCGACCTTCTCTTGCAAGAAAACAAGGAACAGACAAACAGCACCTGCAAGGCTGTTTTCTATCTCTGAGGATTGTTTTAATTCCTCCTTATGATTTCCCAGGCCACTTTCTCACACAAGAGTGAGAATGTTATGTGACCTGCTATTCCACAGGCACTATGCTGCCTGCTTCAGAGTTAGTATCCATACTGTCCCTACGTGTCTTGATGGGATTAATGTGCACTGCGCACCAGTGTTGACCAAGGCCTCATATTTTTTGGTTCTGATGTGCCAGGACAATGAATCCACACAGTCCTAAAGACACGGTTTTCCCTAGCCTCTATCTGGCTAGAGGCAGGGCCCCTCTAAGCCTGGTTGTCCTTCCTTCCCTAGGCATATGCCTTAGAGATTCCTTCAAGGGGATCATCATCATCATTATAGCTGGAAGTTTGGCTATGGGCTACTGGCATAGTTTTCTTTTTGGTGGAACTTCCTCTTAGAGTCTTGCTATATTCCAAGTGCCCGTTGTGCCAGAGCAGCAGTAGATTTTCCATCCCATCTCATATTTTCTTCAGTCATGCAGGAAGAACCACAGCCCAGCTCATGGGGTGTGATGTTGCACTATATTAGGAATGACAAAGCTGTGCGACATAGACTCTCTTCTGGGTAGCACAAGAGAGATACTTCTATTATTTCAGATCTTCTTTTATTGACAGGTCCGAGAAGGTCCGAGAGGTAAAACTCTCATTGGTCATCAAACCAAGACATCACTATTATTGGACAATTAGAAACTACACCCCTTGACTGTTTCTTGAAAGACAACAAGGATCCAAACAACACCTGCAAAGGTTGTTGTCCTTCTCCAAGGACTGTTTGGATTCTCCCTTATAATTTCTCAGGCCAGAGTGAGAACTAGTGTCACATAGGCACTGTGCTCCCTGCCTGCTTTCTTGCATTCAGCATCCATAATTCTCTTTTTTTGTTGTAGGGCAGAAAGGCAGCATTTGTAATGTCCTGCTGTCCCCCCTCTCTATGCATAACTAATTTGCTAGAATATAAGGTGTATTAGTCTTAAAAAGTTCTAACGTTATTTTCTATATATCTATCTCTAAACACTTTGTCTAACTTATCTATATTATAAGAAGTTTTAAAAGTAGATATTATAAACTTGAGTAAAATATAGGATACACAATACTTAACTAAAAGGCTAAAAACTTATAAAATAGATACTGCAGTTTTTCATTAGTAAGCATAAGGCACATGCAGTTACTAACTAGTTTTTCGTTAGTAAGCATAAGGCACATGTGGTAACTAAGTGTATTTTTAGAGCATCTGTTGCCTTTCTATAAACAGAATGTTGACTTTTTCTAGTCGGCTCTTAACAAAGGACACAAGCTTATTTAAAATACACGGTCCGAAGATTAACACAAGTAAAATCATCACAACTGGCCCAATCAGGGTAGACACCAGGGTGGTCAGCCACGGAGATTGGTCGAACCAAGATTGGAACCAGCTTTGCTGGGCTTCTCTCTCCGCCTTCCATTGAGACAGCCTGTCTCGTAGCTCTGCCATGGTGTCTCTCACTACTCCGGTGTGGTCTGTGTAGAAGCAGCACTCCTCTTTCAGGGCAATGCAGAGGCCTCCTTGCTGCATGAACAGAAGGTCGAGACCTCGCCTGTTCTGCGAAACTTCAGAGAGTGAGGAGACTGATTTTTCTAGAAAGGATATGGATTTTTCAATTCTCTGTAGATCTTCATCTACAGTCATTTGTAGCTGAGAGAGACTCTGACTCTGGGTTACCAGGGCGGAGACACCCGTGGCTGCTCCGGTTGCTCCCAAGCCGAGCAGCATTGCTATTGACAATCTTGTCAACAGCTCTCTTTTCTGAAGGTGGCCTGCTCGCTCAAGGTACTGGTTCACTTCTTCTCCAGAGTGGTATAGGACCCTGGGGATGATAGCAGCTAATACACAAAAGTCAGCAGAGGAGTTAAAGCTTTGGGTATAGATGCAAGGGCTTAGCCCACTGCGGTTGCAAACCCACATGCCAGACAAGGGGGCGATTGCTCATTTCTTAGACTTGTCCACCTGCACGGTGGTCGCACAGACTTTTTTGTCAACAGCACTGGCTTTGCCTACACAAAACCCTCACCCGGTCATGTGGCTGATGGTGATTCTGCGAGAAGGTGACTCACTGTGACACTGGACTGGGGCCTCAGCATTAGACCACATTGGCCAGTTGTTAAGGGGGTCTGTGTAAGGGGGCTGTGTGTCATAACACAGCCAGCAGGATTCTGTGGCATTGGGGTTGGATTGATTTAGAGGTAAAAAGGTGGCATCTAACATTTGATAGAGCGAATCGAAAGCAGTGGCTTCAGATCTTTGGGGAGAAGCTTCTCGTTTATGCAGCGGGTACAGACTATTAGATTGTGGGTTCTCAGCCTGTACCACAAGGTTGGGGCCAATTGCTTCAGGTGTCATGACTGGGAGTCGGATAATTTGTACTACTTCACCGGGATCTTTGCCAGGCTTGTGCAAGAATACTGACCACATTCTTCCAGTGGTCCAACCCACATCTGCTGGCTGCAGGACCTGCATGATCATTTGATAACAGACTTTAGACTGGTCATCATAAAAGCCATAAAACACTTGCCCTATGGAGTTGAAACTGGGACGCAAACAGCCTGCTGGACCCCAGGTTACTTGCAGAAACTCGTCTGCTTTTGGTGGTGCCCACCTGTTACTCAGGACTATTGTTTCGCACCCCCAATAGCCACAAAACCAATACCCTAGTTGACGGCAGTAGTCTTTGCCTGGGTTGGTGGCTGGGCACCAGTATGACTGGTACAGCTCAAAGCGAGGGTGGATGCTATGGGTTATTATACCAGGGAAAATGTCTCGAATGAGCACAAAGAACCTTGGGGTGCCCGCTGTGACTACCTCTTTAATCACCTCGTTCGAGGCATGGCGTAAGATCCACCTGAATGGTTGATGAGGGTTATGTTCTGCACTAACCTGCTCGCTGCTAACAAGTCCTAAAAGCAAGATTACACACAGAAGTCGTTGTCGCTTGGGTTTCACAGGCTCAGGAGTTTTGGATGTCTTCGGGTTGTCTGGTGGTTTACCGCCTCCTTCCGGCACTGGAGCATATGCATCACGCGGGCGCCCAATGATCCAGTCCTGCAAACAAAACTTCAGCTTCTTGTCAGTTTCATTTTGAAGGTCTGGTTTTATTGACTTAAGTGGACACCACTTTGTTGATATATTTTATGTATTAGTAAAGGCCTGTATGCACAAACCAGCCTTTGAAATAAGTCGTGATATTAAAGGCTAAAGTCCTTGAAACCTTCATGCAGAAGAGAGAGTAAAGCAAAACAATATCCTTGTGTGTAGGAGAGAAAATGTAAACCTGTGTGTGTTAGCCAATAGTAGCTTACTCTGCCTGCAGACCCTGTAGAACCCTATAAAAGGTGTGCTAAAGATAGAAATAAACGGCATTCACAATTACTTCTGTGAAGACTGGTGAATAGCTCGGGGGTCTTTCAACACCACTTTACCATCTCTTTTAGCTGCAGCGTACCCTCGCCCTGTGAGTACTAATCTCCAACCTTGCTCCCACTCTCCTAACTAATTTCTGATTATGACCTTTGGGCCCTCTTCTAGAGCTCGAGTGGCCCAGTGTTTTTGGGAGGGACTGTTAGTTTCATCTCCCCTAGGGAACTGGTTCAGTGCTAACAGTGCAGTTGCTAGCAAGCATGCCTGGTCTGCCTGGGGAATGGAATTGCTAAAGCTTTCTGATTTTGCTAACACTTCTAGCTTGGCTTTCAAGGTCTGGTTTGCTCGCTCAACGATGGCTTGTCCTGTGCTGTTGTACGGGATGCCTTGCACCAGAGTGATACCCCATTTGGAGGCGAATTCCTGGCTTGGCTTTGAGATAAAATTTGCACCATTGTCCATTTTGATTTGCTTAGGGATGCCGAGCCAAGCCATGGCTGTTAGCCAATGCTGGATAGTTGCTTTGGAGTTGGTTTTCAGGTGCTGTGTGGCTACAATTATTCTGCTGTACATATCCACTGTTACTGCAAGCCATGCTCGGGGTTTTAACAGCTGGCACAATGTAAAGTCTGTTTGCCATATCTCTGAGGCTTTTAGGCCTCTGGGGTTGATTCCACAGGACCACAGTGGTGCCTTTTGGCAGTGGGGGCATGAAGCTACTACATGTTTTGCATCAGCAACTGAGATTTCACATCTCTTTGCTAGTGCTTTGGCTCCGATGTGCAGGGTTTCGTGTAGCTGACGATCTTCTTGTAAAGTCCACAATCCTTTTGCGGCAGCATCTGCTTTGTCGTTGCCAACTTGGAAGAACCCTTTGATCGGGTTGTGGCTGCTAACATAGATGACTGATATGGTACCTTTTTGAGAGGAGAGCACTTCTTCTAGCATTAGAGCTGCTGTAGATGTCGATATGCCGGGTCCTGACATAGCCAGGCAAAGCTTGGCTACAAACATTGAATCAGTTACAATGCTAAGATGCTCTGTTTGGAACAGTCCGCATGCCAGTACCACAGCTGCTACTTCCAGTTGCTGGACTGAGAGTGTACGATCAATCACTTTGACGCAGTGCCACTCGTCCTCTGATTGCCACACCGCAGCCGCAGTGGAGGTTGTCGAGGATGCGTCTGTGAAGACTGTCAGTCCTGGCTGGGGCCGGTCCATGACCTTTTGTGGTAGGTCTATGTTGACAACAGCTAGCATCTGAGCCCAAGGGGGCTTTGCAGAATACTGAATCTCTCCGCCGAACCCAACCAGGGCTGTCGCCAGGTATTCTGACATCACTGTTGACTGTGTAGAGAGTTGCTTGCAGAAAGGCAGGAATATTCTGGCTGGTTCAATGCCAAGATGTCTCAGGGCAAGTTTTCTACCTTTCATAATGAGGCTGCTGAGGTACTCAGCTTGGGTGAGCTTTTTCTGGGGGACCTTGAGCTAGTGCTCCTACTCCCCCTCCCTTTGTGAAATGCACATACAGATCGAGTGGTACCTGGGGCTTCTACCTGGCAAGGGAACTTAAAGATACCTGCTGTTCGATAAAGTCAAGAGAGTCCATTGCTTCTGCTGTTAGGGCTTTGCGTTCCCATGGATTTTTCCCTCTCAGGAGATCATACAGGGGGGCCATCTTCTCGGGTAGGATTAAGACGATGTTGCAGAGCCGTTGCAGGAATCCCACCAGCTGCTGCACGTCATGGAGCGTTTTGATATCTCGACAGATCTTTATCTGGGGAGGGGATATGTAAGAGTCTGTGATCCCCACCCCCAAAAAGGTTACACATGGCCCCTTTTTTATTTTTGCACTTGCAATTTCAAAGGCATTTGTTTTTAGAGTCTCTGTGATTGTTGACACTAACTGGTCTACCTGACTTCCCGAGGGTGCGGCAATCAGGATGTCGTCCATGTACTGGATGACGGTCGCAGTCGAATTGCTATGACGGATCGGTGCTAGCGCTCGATCGACTGTGATTTGGCAGATTGTAGGTGAGTTGACCATCCCCTGAGGCAGCACTTTCCACTGGAAGCATAGGTTGGGGTGCTGGCTGTTTGGAAACACTGAGAAAGCAAACTGCTCTCTGTATTCTTCATGTAAGGGTATAGAAAAGAAACAGTCTTTGATATCAAGAACAGCACAGGGTTGGCCCTCTGGCACCATAGAATTCATAGGTAACAATGTTTGAACAGGTCCCATGGGTTGAATTTTCTTATTTACTTCACGTAAATCATGGAGGAGGCGAAACCCTTCTCTGGATCATTTAGGGATTACGAAAACAGGGGTATTCCACAGGCTAGTAGATGGCTCTATGTGACCTTGTTGTAATTCATGGTTAACTAACTCAAGAAGGGCATCTAATTGAGGCTTGGACAGGGGCCACTGCTCGACCCACACCGGGTCGGATGATTTCCAAGAAAGCCTGATTGGTGGCAGCGGGTACGCGGCAGTGGCCCTTAGGGTAAATTTGTCACCCTGGCTTTTAGCAAGGCTAGGGCGTCCCTCCCTAGCAGGGCTGGGATTCCTGTCATGACATATGGGAAGAGGGCAATAGTTTTTTCTGGCCCTTTTTCTGTGTGGAGTGTAATGGCTATTAGCTGTGCGCTTCTCCGAGCCCGTGACAGCCCTCCAACCCCGCCTACCATGGGGGTATCCTCTAGTTTCCAGAGCGGAGGCCAATTTGTCTCTGGAATGACTGTGACATCTGCCCCAGTATCAATTAGAAAAGGAACACTGATAGATCCAGAGGGGATACTTTGATCACCTGAGGTGTCATAAAGGGTGCAGATCCCCCATACCACTGGCGGGTTGTCACACCTTACTGCCAGGGCCACCCTGGGGTCATGTCCCCCAAGTGTGATCCCTGCTGCCCCTGAGGCAGGTAAGGCAAGGCTGGCTGAGTAACTGGCTGGGTCATGAAAGTGGTCGCCTCTCGGGGGGGGTAAAGGATTTGGGAGCATCTCTGTCCTTGCAGGATTGGCATAACTGGGCCGCCTCGCATCCCGAGTGGGAGAGGACTGTGTGCAACCCTGCTGTCCTCTCCCCCTCCCGTTTCCCTGAGCCTTGGATCTACATTCTTTGGCAAGGTGCCCCTTTTTCCCACAAGCCCAGCATGGCCCTTTAAATTGGTTCTGCTGTGAGGTGGACGCTGCTAGGGCCCCCCCGCCTTTGCAATTTGCAGCAACGTGACCTGCCTGATTGCATTTGAAACACGCCATCGCGTTAGTGATTGCTGTGCAGACTGCAGTTTGAATCGGAGCTACCTGTTCCTCCCTCGCAACATGCTTAATCATCTGTGCGATATTTGCCCCTCCCGGTAATGATCGGAGGATTTCCTTGGTTGTTGAATTGCATTGTTGATGCAAGCAGTCTGCCATGACTGGGCCTTTTGCCTCTGGGGGCAGGGCCGAGGAGTCAACAGCTGCCTGAAGGCGGTCTACAAATTGCGTAAAGCTCTCACTTTCGTTTTGCTTTATGGTAGCCCATGGTGATGGCTTAGCAAGAACTCTAGAGGCCGAGCGAACAGCTTCTCTGGCCGCACGAGTGGTTGTCATAACTTTGTGGGCCCGCATACCCTGGGCTTGTGCCTGAGGTGTAACCATGGCTGGGTCTCTGCCCATTAACCGTGGCAGGCTGGAGCCGTGTAGCGGATGGTCTGCCCCAGTTATTTGGGCTAGGTATCTGGCACAGTTGTCTTCCCAATCTTGTTTAAAAACAATCATCCCTGCCCCATCGAAAAACAATCTGCAAGTGTGTTTTATATCAAAAGGGAGCAGGTCATCACCCCCAAAAAGACCATTGATAAGGGAGGTGACCATGGCAGAATTAAGCCCTTTTTCTGAAATTGCTTTAACAATCATTTTAACTTCTTTAGGATTTATTGGTGAGTAAACTCTGTGTCCCCCCTCAGACACCCGGACTGGGAATACTAGCACATCTGGGGGGACCCAGGTGGCACATTCTGCTCTTATCTGACCCCAGTCTGTGAGAGGGGTATCCTCTCTCAGTTATTTTTTAATGTGGAGGGGGATATTCTTGTTTATCTTTATTGTTTCCTCTTCTGAGGACTCAGCCTCTGACCATTCGTCGCTAGTATCTCCAGCAGAGTCAGAGCTCGACTGGCTAGCTACTTCCTGTTTCCCGTGCCTTTTTTTGTTGGGCTCCGGCCCCGCCTACCACCCCTGTGGGCGGGCTGTTCCCTCCCTCCTGGCTCTCCCCACCCTTCAGTCCACCCTCCACTCCGCCTTTCACCCCACCTTTCACTCCGCCCTTCACGCTCTGTTCCTCCCTCTGCTCCCCCTCTCTTCTGTTGATATATTTTATATATTAGTAAAGGCCTGTATGCACAAACCAGCCTTTGAAATAAGTCGTGATATTAAAGGCTAAAGTCCTTGAAACCTTCATGCAGAAGAGAGAGTAAAGCAAAACAATATCCTTGTGTGTAGGAGAAAAAATGTAAACCTGTGTGTGTTAGCCAATAGTAGATTACTCTGCCCGCAGACCCTGTAAAACCCTATAAAAGGTGTGCTAAAGATAGAAATAAACGGCGTTCACAATTACTTCTGTGAAGAGTGGTGAATAGCTGGCGGTCTCTCAATACTCTTCCCCCTTATCTACATTCTTTTCCCTCTCCCTCTTTACACCTCCCCCGCATCCTTCTTCACATTCCTTATCTCTCCCAATCTCCCGACTGTGTTCATCTCTCAATGCCAGCGTTTGCTCTTTGTTTTCAATAAGGACATTCCTTTCCCGCTGTATGTCTTTTTGCTCAGCGCCATTTTTAAGCCCCTGGGGGGATGCTTCCCCCCTGACTTTGTCTGCAACACCTCTGGCTTCTTCTGTTAACTTTCTCCAAAAATCTCCTGCTTTCTGCTGTTCGTTTGAGAGCAGATCAGGGTTCGGGGACTGAGGGGACACATCACCCTCTTGTGTCCCCTTTGGCTCAGCCGAGCCGCTCTCGCCTGGGGGCTGTAAAATCTGAGTGGCTGCTCTGACCCCAAATTTCGGGGTGGCCAACAGACAGTTTCTTGCCACATTCCAGGTCTATTTGGCAAGGGTTTTAGTACATCTGTACTACACCTTAGGGTGGATAAACTTTACTAGCTGATTTATGACCCCAATATACAAAAGCCTTGCAATAGCAAGAGTAAAAGAATTAGGTTTACAATTTAATTGCAATCTGACCTTTATCAGGGCTTCCATCTTCCTTCTGGATGCAGGGACATCTCCCTCGCCAGGACTAGTCCAGCTGGTCCTGACCGCTGCTCCCGTTTCCCAGGTAATCCTCGCTTTCTGGGTTTGAATCCCGCTTTCTCCCGGGTTTCCGGCACCAAATGTTGCCTTTTAAGCAAGGCAAACACCCTGGTTCAAGGAACAGCACGGTGACCAACACCCAGGTCACTCGGTCCATTACCCACAGCATCAATGTGATAGATGGCGGAATGGCGTTTATTGCTAGAGAATTTGACATTTTATAACCTAGGGTCACTATGTTACTCCCATCTGCTTTCATCACAGTTAGGTGCTATTGGCTAATTGCAGGAGTCATTACCATACACTGTAGAGGAGGGGGGTGACTATCTTTCCGTTACATCCCAATATCTTCCAAACCTGCTTCAACACTGCTGGGTCCTTGCAGGGAAGAGAATAAACACAGCATCAGAGGTCCCTTCAGTAACTTGTCGATTACCATAAAAGACCTTGATTGGACACTGACTTAGAATGGTCAAGGAGATTTTCTGGCACATGCTATTGAATCCTTCATGCACTACCATCAAGTCTTGTTGTTCATTCTTGCAAGGAGTCAGTTAAACCTGGTAAACTGGAGTGACTCCGAATGTGCAGGAAAAGTTTTTCAATAATGAAACAAGGTTGCATCATTGACCTCTTTCAAAAGTGAGAAATCCAAACATTTGGTTAGGTCTGCTATATAAGCAGATTAAATTACCAAATTCAGGGGTACCTAACTGGGCTAAACTTGGTTTGTGACCTTCTAGCACTTGCTAGTCAGACTTACCCTTCCAAGTATCAATAGCTTTTTCTGTTTCTCCCATTTTTCAAATTGTTTCAAATGAGCAATTAATTCAGACAGCTTGGGTGCTTTTTTTTTTTTTTTTTTTTTTGGTAGCACAATGCATATGATAGATGATAAGACGACCTACTTTCCCAAGGAACAGAAGGTCTATCCCAATAAAGGCTGCAAAACTGAACAGGCCAAATATCCAAATATTTAGACTTGAATCTCCAAAGCCCTTTCCGAGCTGTTGGAAATCTATAAGTGTAAATAAGTGTATTTGCCTTACACTTTTTACTTTTGCAGGAAGTGTGGTGAAAATACCAAAGTGAGCTGCATGGGGTTTGTGCAGGATTGGACCATTGCTTGCTCAGTTTTGCCAGTGATACTTGTAGGAGGAGAATCTGAATTGAAAATGGCAGTATCAATGACAGAATTTCCTTGATGAATCTGATTCCCAAAGATCTACATGATCCTAGTTACCACAAACTAAATCCACAGCCCTCGGTAACTACAAGCAAAAGTATGTGACATATTCCATGAGGTACAATTACATCTTTTTGGAAAACCAGTAATTTTTGTCTTAGAGTCCAAATAAATGAAACTCATGTAAAAGTCCATCAGCTGAAGACATCGATCTTTAGCTTCACTAGATGTCTTCTTGAATCCTGAAACATGTGTCCCTTTTCACTCCTCAAAGATGATGGGTGTCTGATGTGACTGCTTGAACCTGCTGATAATAAAGCACAGGCATATCTTCTCCCAAGTTAATAAATTAATTAGTCATTACTGTTATTAGTCAATCAACATTTACACTTGATAATTAATTTTTAAAATTTCTAATATAAACATATTTTGTTCAAATAATCTTTTTTTTTTTTTTTAATTGTTGCCTATAAACTTGATCAGCCCAGAAACTGCAAACAGCTAAAGTGTTTCTTTCCAGTGAAAAGACCTGAACACCTCTCCATGGTGAGGGTTACAGATTCGCTCCAAAGATTGATTCAGCTGTAATATTTACAAGGCAAATTGCCAAGTCAAAGAACTCATATGTAACTTTTGCTGCAGAAACAACTGAGCCTGTTGGTAATTCTTATCCAGAAAGAGCTAAGGTGTGGCCAGTGCCTCCCTAACTGGAAAAGAATCTCCCACATGATATAATTTTAAAACAAGATTCCCAAAAATCCTGGGGTAAAAACCAAATGAACTCCTAAAACTGTAACTTATCAACAATATCATCAGTAGATTCACATTCTGTAATCAATATATCAGTACCCTTTCGTTCGTCATCCCCAGGGGATGGGTGGGGGAGGAATGGAGCCATTCCCCTAGGCAGAGCTGAAACAGAGAAATTAAGAATTAAGCATAAAGAAATGCCTGACCAGAAGAGAGGGGGAATAGACAAGAACAAGAAAGGAGCGAGATTGCAAGATAAGATAAAGAGCTAAAATACAGAAACAAGATGCAAAGACAAAGGCACCACAAGATAAAGGGATTCCTTGGACCCCTAAGCGGGAAAGAACGGTATCGAAGTCCAAAAAGTGGTCAAAAGACTGAAGGAGGCATGCGCAAAAAGACAAAGTGAAGAGTTCAGCTAAAGAGAAAATTGCTGACCTCATCCCAAAGACCCCCCTCCAGACGACCACCGAACTGACCAAAACCGACCACTGCGCAGCCGCAAAGGGGCGTGGAGCTAATTGTAATATGAAGTGAGGACAGGTGGAGTTAGGAAATGAATATGTATTAGGCGTATTGTGCAACCCTAGTTTGTAAAGGATAAAAAGAGAAAGCCAAATCTAAAAGGTGTGCATGCTTTTTGGAGGAGATATCCCCCCATGCACCTCAGCGCTGAATAAATTCATACCTACTCTTATAATTACTCTGTGAGTTATAGAGTTCTTTTCTATCCACATATCAGAGCTGCTCCGTGGGAGCGGCGGAAAGCTGCACCCAGCCCCCATCATGCTGTGTGCTAACATCACAGTGGTGACTGCCGCACTGCACAGTGAGGGGGGAAACCGGAGCCGCTGTCTCCCAACCCCCCACCCAGCTGCCGCCCCATCCCCTCCAACAGCCGACCAGGACGGGGGCGGGGGGGAAGGGGGAGGCCTCCACCTGCTGCGCTGTGGGGAGAGCATACAGGCAATCCTTAAACATAAGAAAAGTTAAAGGCATAAAACACTCAGAAGGCAAACTCCTTGCCCCAAAATCCACGGGGTGGGACCATGGGGAAAACCCTCTCTTACAGCATCTTTTTTCTGACTTTCAGCTTTGGACCACGGTGTTCTGCACAAAGCTGTATCAGCAGAGCTAGTCTGTGTCTTCAGAAGTCCGGATGGGCTGGCACGGGGAGTGTGGTATGTGCCAGGTGGGGAGGCCAGGCTGGCCACAGCAAGGGCGCACTGCTGTCGCTCCTGCTCCTGCTGGAAGTAGAGGTTGCGGATCCCCCGCATGGTCTCCCAAATCTGCATTCACAGGCGGTTCAAGGGGCCGAGTTGCTCTGGCTGGAACCAAGCTATCTGGGGATCCATCGAACAGGGACCCACCCTGGCTGATCCACTCTCATGTTACCATGCCCAGATGGCCACAGCTGTAACGCTTTAAAGCCTTCTGATACAGTGAGTCCTAAGTGCTGCTTATGTCCTATTCAGAGAGAGGACGAGTTTGTTCCTCTGCAGAACTTTGGTTCCCCTTTATGGGAAGAGCTTTATCTCAACGGCCCATGAGTGCAACATGCAAACGCAGTGGCTCATCCTGGGAATGTAAGCTCTAGCTTTGTTGAGATCTGCCATTCCAGGCCCACTCACCAGCTGGGCCCTCTGCCCAGGGTCACTGAGATCTGTAGGTCTCCAGGAACACATGGGGAAAAGCTCCTTACCTCTCAAAGGAGGAGGGAGACTCCAATGTCCTCCAGCTCTTGGCTGCAATGCATGTCAAGGGTCTACCAGATGTCACACTATACTAGGAATGGCGAAGCAGTATGACATAGACTTTCTTCTGGGTAGCACATTTCAGATCTTCTTTTATAGACAGGTCCAAGAAGATCCAAGAGGTAAAACTCTCATTGGTCACCAAACCAACACATCACTATTATTGGACAATTAGAAACTACACCCCTTGACTGTTTCTTGAAAGAAAACAAGGATCCAAAGAACACCTGCAAAGGTTGTTGTCCTTCTCCAAGGACTGTTTGGATTCTCCCTTATAATTTCTCAGGCCAGAGTGAGAACTAGTGTCACATAGGCACTGTGCTCCCTGCCTGCTTTCTTGCATTCAGCATCCAGTGTACCTTTTATCCTTCTCTGGGGGACTTGTGTTTGGTACCAGGACCTCTGATCTGTATTGCTGAGATTTGGAGAAAGTGCTTTTTAATCTCTCTGCTGAGTTGCCTGACCTTTACAATTTAGCTTACCCTGCAAAATGAGAATAAAGCTAAGGGTTTACATGCAGCTAAGCAAAGGTACTAACTTTATTGCCTTACCTGTCTCTTATTTTCTCCCAGTTTCATAGTACATGAGTAAACTTGCCAGAAAGGAACAAAAATTAACTGTTAATTTAGGTGGTTTTCAGCTTTATACACACACACACTGGAATTCTTATAAAATATAATTGTCTTAATTGTTTATCATCCCAACATATATGTTATCTTCCTAGGTAGCTCATTAAGAGGCTGCTGTAAAATGTGATGCAACAATGCTATGAAGGAAAAGAGGAAATTTCAACCTAAGTACCACTGGAGCAAGGAAAGGAAATAAGGGGTCATACTTCTACTTTTCTGTTGAGACAGAATAGGAAAAGAAATACAGCAAGGAAGTGAAGTGCAAGATAAAGAGGTAGCAGCATACAGTACTTGGTAAAGGCTCCTGCCCCTGCCCAAGGGGACTCAGAAGCCAAGGAGATGGTTACTTCAGCAGAGGGCACTGGAGTAAAAAGAATGTGGTGTGCTACTGGCTCTACCTTGCTCTGCCTAGCGTAACTACAGACTAGCTATGCTGCAAATTCTTGTACTTTCTGTTGCTTCAAAATTTTTACCCCAGAAAGAGAGGACATGTGCTGAATAACACTGGAAGGTTTGGGATTGGAGCAATGCAGGTAATGGCATGTAAGTAAAAAAGGCAATAAGGAGGAGAATCTGGGGCACATACTCTTGAGTCAGCATTCTGAACCCCACAATACCAGTGGGACAAGGAGGATGATGAGATGGTTACGAAAGTGAAACCTCTAATGAGAAATTGTCAAAACAAAGTTTCTTACCTTCCTTATAATTTCTCCTTTTTCCACAGCAGCTGCAGTCAGAGGGTATATTTGCATAGACCTTTGCATTCCAAGTAGCCTGAAAACACAAACAATAACTGCATTGATATGCTACAAATTTATTATGAACAGCATCAAAGAACTGAAAAAAGTTTCTAAACAAATTTGACATTTGGTGGGTTATACAGTATTATTTATTTATGCAAACTGTGAATTTGTGAATGCCTGGGACAGCAGCTTTCATGGAGGAACAATCATTTTGCACATATGGACTTCACATTCCTTTAGCTCCTCTAGGCTTCTTTTGTACATGGGAAATTGAAACCTCATGTGTTATGGTGGAGATACTGAGCATGTCCAGAGCGTAAGGCTGTATTTTGTTATCATTACTATTTAAAATAAGTGTATAAAATTAGCTCGAATAGTTGCATCTGTATCCCATAGGCTTGGATGACATTCAGCATGCTCTAATAAGCATCGGATTTTTTTTTTCAATTATTATGTTGGATAAATACAGTCTTCTGTTTGTCAATGGAATTTTATAAAAGGAGAGGAATTCAGGTCTTGTTAATGTAATGGTCAAACACATTCAAGTACTAAAGATTTTCTTTTTTATTATCTGGTTTATGTGCAAGAATCTTCACTGTGTGAAGGACATGCTTGCAGCACCTGGAGAAGTATTTAATTCTTGCCTTCCATTCTGATATCAGGTTTCAGAATGAGAATTTTTCCATTATTATCAGCTTTAAAGGTCATGTTTCTAACTAAAATAGCAAACTGAAACACTGCCAAGACATTTAGAAAATACACATTTCTTATTAGACAGCTATCCTAGTTCCAGTTTTAGAGCAGGTTTATATGGAAGGAGTAATATAAAAATTGAAAAGTGAGATGATACCATTCAACAGTTACACTGGTATTTTACGTATTTCTGTCAGTCATACAGGCTAAAAGAGGGAGTAATTTTTAATGTATAATTTGAAGAACATTACTAGTGTGGCCACAAATGTCAGGTCTTAGAACTGTGCCTACACATTATCCCCTTTTGGATGAAAAATAAAGAGAGAAAGGAATTGAAAATTGAGACTATATGTGGTAGAAGAAAAACTAATTCCTCTGGGTTTTTAAAAACATAAAAGAAAGAACAATGTAAACAAGTGGAGATAAATTATAGCAGATACAATCATAAGCTGAAATTATATTTGAAAACAGTAGTCCTAAAGACAAATAATGTTTTGTGTTTCAAATTCTAAAGCAGTGTATCATGCAGGAAGAAATGCTGTGTAACTGGAGAAAGCAGACATTAAAAATAATCTAGGTTATCTAGTGGGATCAGTTCCCAACAAGAGAACAAGCTCATCTACAAATTTCTGAACTTTCAGAAAACATAATAAACATCAGAAAAGCCTCACTCTGATGGAAGACTAAAGTGGGAGTTTGAGAATTAAAGTGCTCATCTGTGAAGTGTTACATAATAAGAACCACAGGTCATTTCACATCTCACTTTTTTAAATTTCAATCTTTCAAACTACAACAACGTAGTACTGTGGTAACTTATGCTGTAATACTTAAAATTGTTGTTAGCATGTTCATACTGTTAATGGAATTAAATGTTGAGGGAAAACATAAACTACATGAAAAATGAAACCTTTCCACAATACAGGAACCAAAAGAGAAAATGGTAGAAGTCCCCAGACTGGAATGTTAAAACCCAGACTGAACAGAACATCAGAACACCGTATAATCACTTGCTAGAAACTAGGAAGTAACAGGATGTCTTCAGGCCCTGACCATTTCTAGCTTCTGTGACTTTAAACCAAGGTTGCAAAGAACACCTACCATTTTGGCTATTCCTAATGCTATCTTCTGCTTCTAATCAGGACACTGACAACTCCAACAAGGTTTGCATTTCTACTGTAGCATTTAAAGAGGAGTCTGCAAAAGATGGCAATTGTTGATTGAAAAGTTTCTGTGGTACAGAATATCAGACTAGTTGGAAGTACCTTAAAGCTCATCTTGTTTCAAACCATAGGCAGGAACAACTTCCACTAGACCAGGTTGCTCCAAGCCCTGTCCAATCTGGCCTTGGACATTTCCAATTTACACTTCTTTTCTAGCTCATAGTAAAGCTCTTGCTAAGTCAAAGGTGCTCTTTGTAAATGTCTTCTGTGTTCATAAGATCTCAATGCCTGTGACTGTGGATAGAAGACTCTGCTTTCAGGAATAGCTTTTCTTAATAGTAATACTACTAAAATTATTTAAGCACTGATCCTTGATAAACATTAAGATTGTTTTGGTGGAAAAGCCTAAATAATAGAGATTACTTCATTAGTAAAACAGATAGAAATAACACTTTTAGTTACTACCACCACATTTCTTGAAAAGTTAATGAAAATCTGTCTATGGTCAGTACAAGAGTCAGAAATAGGAACTGAAGAGTAACCTTGCCCTATGTAGTTTTCCCCGGTATGTAAGAATTTCCATCTTCTGTCTGCATGCCACAACCCAGCTTCTTTTTGCTCTCTCGAGTCCCTGGCTCTGGGCATGGCAACTTCTGACTTGACAATGTCCTATTGAAATTGTATTTCCAGGTCATGCAATGCTGCACTTCAGATGTTGGACTGACAATAATACATTGGGTGCTCTTCACAGTATTACGAAGGGAAAATAGAAATGCAGTGATTCTCTGAACAGAATCCTGCACAATGGCATCACAGCAGGATTGATCCCACAGAGCCTCTACCTGGACATAGACATGATGAAATATATGGGCAACAAAACGTGACCACTGAATACCATTTATGGTCTTTAATTTAAATAAGGCTAAATTCCTTAGTATTTTACACCATATTCATGTTCTCATAAACAGGCATTAAGTGGATGTTACCTTGAAATATCCTGATGCTAAATAATTAGCTCTTGTAACAATTTAAAATTGACAGTCAGTACGTGCTTAGTAAATGCTTCAAGTCAAGTGACTGCAAGACATTCTGTAATTGCGTTTTAAAATTTCTTCAGTATCCCAGCTAATTCTGACTGTGCTACAGAAAAGCTTGGAGGGTCCCCAAACATCTTACATGCGGTGTTGGTTAAAGCTAAGGATGATCTGTGTCCTGCAGCACACAAAGCTACGGGGGACCTTCTCCCAGCAGTGAGCCCACCTCTACGCCTTCACTAGGGACTGGTGGGCAAAACCCCGAATGCTTTGCCCTGCACGGCCACGTAAGCGGGAACTTAATTTGTGTTGTTTTTCCCTGAAGTAAGAAAAGTAACCGGCTCGAAGCAATAAGGTGTGATGGCATGAAGCAACCGCACGGTCCGCCAACAGAGGTTCCTGACGAAGAGAAAATGGCGGGCGGGGGCCCTTAGGAAGCTCCCAAAACGCAGAGCGCTCCCGGGAGCCACTCCATGTGTGAAAAGCCTTCACCTGCACTCCCAAACCCACTAAGAAGGGGGGGGGTGGGGTGGGGGGGGTAAAGCCCCACCTGAAAAGAGGAAGGCATCTGACATTGGAGACCGTCCCTGACGGAGCACGAGGTACACTCCCCAAGCCGGGCGATAGTTCCACCACCCTGCCCCCACGGGCTCCAGGCCGTGACTCGGCTATTTCTCCTCGTCCCGTCCTGTCCCAGCCCGTCCTGGCTGCGGGGGAAGGCAGGCGCAGGAAGGGGCGGGTGGTGCGGTGAGAGAGGGAGGGACGTGGGCGGTGAGAGGAGCAGTCGACGCACAAGATGGCCGCTGGTGGAGTGCCAGTGGGGTGGTGGGGGGTGATGGTGGCGCTGGCCTGGGCCCCGCGAGTATTACTGGAGGAGCAGTAGCAGGGCGCTGTGGCAGCCCCGGTGTGCCGGAGCTGAGGGGCCCGATGGGCGCTGCAGGAAGCCCGGCCCGCGTGGTGAGTGCGCTGCCTCCGCCGCGGGGTGCGGGGAACAATAGGGCGGGAGAGCTCTGCCCGCCTTGCCGAGAAAGGAGGCGGAGGGGCGGGCGGTGGGACGAGATGATATCCAGAGGTGCCTTCTAATAATTCTGTGACTTTGTGCCTCGCCAGGCCTCAGGCTCCTGCCCAGCTCGATTTCCGAACGCCTCGGGCAGGCGGGGAGGGGCCGCGGGTCACTGTACCCGATGGGGGGGAGGCGGAGAGGGACTGGGTCCGGTTTGGGGGTGGGGAGAGGCGGCATCGCCTCAGGCTGCGGCGGCTAAGGGACAGGCGGCTTTTGTGTGTCCCCTCTGCCTGCTGTTGTTTTTTCCAGGGGCTCTGCCTGCCTCTGCGTGAGAAAACTCATCCCTGTGTCGCATTGAACAACAGAGACGGAGGGAAAATAATGACAGACCCCTACCCGTCCCCGGGACACCTCTCCGCCCTGGGTTGTGGCTCTTTTGTCTGTCGTGCCTGAGGGAAGAGCGAGGTGGCTGCGGCTCCCTCTGCGTGGGGACAGACGATGGTGAAACCGCACAGGATCTCCCCGACTTGCACTAGTTTTTCCACCCTGGCATTGTTTTGGCTGTTGGATTACACCCACAGAGTGGGTAGGGTTTCATGCCGGGGGTGCGGTGTTGGTATAGCTGGGATTTAATTTGCTTTGATGGTTGGGAATGTCCTGGTGTCAGGTTTTGTCCTCAAAAGCCATTGTGAGGTCTGTCTTGTTTTAAAGCAGGGAACTGATGCAGGTTTTGGTTTTTTTTCCTAGGAACTGGGAATGTTTTGTTTACCTCCGCATGCCTTTTTGTCCAGAATGTATCTCTTTATTTTTATAAATTTTAGTCAAGTACTAGTGACAAATCATTTGTTCCTCTAGCAGAAGCTATGGTTTTCTGTGTGCTTTTGCCATATTGAAAATGGCTGAAGTGGGGGGAAAAAATTAAAAATTTGCAAAAATAATTAAAAGGTTCAAAGTAACCTGGATTGTGGCTGAGCTGCTTTAATCATTGTAACTGGTGTACAAGTGCTGTCATTTAATGACTCTGCTGGAAGATAAATGCAGCTGTTAAATTCAGCATTTATACTCTATTCACATTATTTAGCTATAGAATTGTGAGATAACACAGGAATACTATGAGGCAGAAGTTAATGTATTCCTAAACTTATGTTTTCTTACTTCTTTCGGGCTTATAAGGATGTTGAGGTAGTTAATTTTGTCAGCTATAAATGTCTGTATTGGTGTGTTTGAAGTAAATGAATGGGACTTCATGGCTGTATAAATAATCTGTGTTCAAGAGCACTTTGTACATTATTGCCAGTTTCTAAGCTTCACCAGGAGCACCATGGCTTTCTTCAGTGAATTAATGCACGATGCTGATAATAAGATCATGGTTCCCACTAACCTAACTAGAAGCAGACATTATCAGGCACCTTTTCCCTTCCCAGTGATAGCTTATGGCTTGGTCTTCCTGTCCTAGAAAAGGGTCTGTCAAAGTAGACAGTCTGACAGGCTGCTTGGAGGGAAATTTAGAAAGGCAAGTACCATCAGAGCAGTCTGTTTTGACAACCAGAGATTTGAGTTTGTCAATCACTTATGAGCAGTGGAAACCTTCATCAACATAAGTGTGCAGTAACTTGTATGGTTTCTGGTGTTTTGTTGATTGTTTTTGTGAGGGTTTTTTTGTCAGCTTTGTATCCAAACTAGCTTAGTTTAAAGTGAAGTATTTTAGAAATTTCTGATGGATTGTTGTGTGCTGATAGTTTAAAAAACCTAACGTTCCAGTGAACAGAAGACTGTTTGAATCTGGAAACTGCAGACATTAATATCACAGAGTTTAATTTAGGGGCATCTTGAGACATGTATTATTATAGAAAAGTGCTCGTGCTGAAGCAGCTGAAGAGAAATGAGCAAGAATGCTTTTGGAAACTTCTGTCATGTTGCCAATGGTTCACCAGCAATCTGGGTAGAGCCATTATCAACTTGTTGAATTAAACATGACAGAAGTTGAGATTCAATGAGTGTGTATATTAAAATAATGCTTTAATTCCTTTGTATGTGGTTCAGAAATCTTAGTTGACACTGATGCTGGCTACCTTTGATAGTGATGGCAAAAACTTACATCCCATTTAATTAGGGTCTCTATCTCTTAACTAACCAGTGCCGTAAAAGTGTGTTTACTTAGAAAATTGACCTTTCCCAGTCTGTAATATGTAGTGATATGAAGGATAATTACCTTTTTTTATTATTATTTTTCTGCACCAAGAATTATAGTTTACATGCTCAGTATCTGGGAAAAAAAGTTTAATCTATTTGAAAGAACTTGTGGAGTTCGTAGCTTTCCAATGGTATGACACGTAAAGTTAAATTAGAAGGAAAGAAGTCATCTGCGTGTAGGTTCCCAGACTTCCCGAGAATCTCAGAACAGTGATGCAAAAGCCACTATAAGGTATCTTTTAAGCAGATGACCTTTATAAAACTTTGTAATTTTTTGCAAAGCCTACTCATTGTTTAAAATTCTTCTCCCCCCTGGATTCAGTGAATCATTTTGCAGATTAAAGTCTGTGTGGTTTTGTGGTTTTAGTAATCAGTAAATCAGGTAGTTGTTTGCTGGAGCATCCCAAGTAATATTGGCTGGTGGGCCAGAAAAACAAATCTGACTCAAAGTACGTAAGAGATAAACCATTGGGGAATTAGTATTTTGAAATTAATGTCTTGGAATGTAGTAGGTAACAAATATGAAGCCATTATCATACAGGAATAAAGATATAATATGCTCCTATTGTGAAAGATTGTTATATAAACACACTGCACCAACTGAAATTTCAGTATGACCTTCAAGATTCCACGTAGGCTTTGTTACAATAATGTAGTCTGAAGTCTAGGGAGTCTGTTGACTGAGAAGGAAAGCCACAAATGTTTACTTATATTATATTACTTTCCTTTCTGTGCAGAGATTCCACAGTGTGCCTGGAATTATGTGCAGTTCCCATCACTGAGTCTGACCAGTTGTTTTACTGAAGAAGTTCATCTCTTGATAATTACTTTTTGCATCAGTCTTGTTTTCTTCATTACCAGTATGGTTAAAGTTGAAATGGTATTAGATTTCCAAGGGCTAACTGATTTGCTAATGAAATTTTTTATTTGTGGAACTGTTTTAATGGGCAAGAAGGTGCAAAAGTCCTGATGGCTTATTATAAGTAGATTTTTCTGATATAAAGATAATTTCTCTTTAGAGTTCTTAAGGAAACAGCTTTCCTGTTACTGCATGGTAGCAAGTAACCATGCTACTGATGGTTCTCCATCAGCTGGAGAAGAAAGAGATTTTGGTGATAGAAATAGCAAGAATTCAAAATCATTTGCTATAAATGTGTGATGTCAGAGGCAGTATCAGTTGTGCATTACTCTGTTAGAAAGTGTAGACAAGTGTTACATGCAAGTATGATGGGTGTCCCAGCATCACATTGAGATGACTTTCTAATGGAGTGAGAAGGAAGGCAGCTGCAGGGGGTCTAAGGGAAATTCTCACCAGATAGAGATGACTTATAATATGCATCATGGCATATACAAAAGGGCCTGGACATCCTATGCAGACTTTTACATGAAAACTTCTGCCCCACATGCTAGGTTGGCTTTTCTTCCCGCAGGGAGAAAAAAAAAAAAGTAGTATTTCAGGAAGCCTAAACCATATGAAGAATAAGATCTCTCTTTATCACTTGATTGTACAAAGTAGGTAGAGACCCACAATGTAAGCTACCTTGTTAGAATGAAGACTTTTTTTAGGAATGTGGACAAAAATCTTTGTATGAGAGAGAGATATGAGGAGGAGAGTGGAGACAAGGGAAGAGGATTGTTTTGACACATGAAAGGATTCTTTTTTTCTCGTTCTGCTCATAAGAAATAGAAGATACTGCAATTGAACTGAAAAGTGTTGGAAGTATTGCTGGAGGAACAGATCTTTCACTTGCTTCACACAGATTGGGACGGAGTTGCCATGTAATTTGATACAAAGAACAGAAGAGAGTGTTTGTGTCAGGGAATACTGTGGTGGGTCTGGAATTCAATATTACAGAAGCTGGAGGATTTATTGACATTTATGCCTTCCAGCCATGGTCACTAAAACCACCATAAGGACATGTTCTTGCCTCTTGCAGAATAGACCCCTTTCACTACAAATTGCTTGCAAAACCACATTTTAAAGTATTAGTTTTCAATTACTGAACTTCTAGTGTTTGTGGTGTGCATGTTATATTGATCTGAGACAGGACTACTTCAGCTATGAGACAACTGAAGGAACAAAGTGTTTGGTGTAGCTGAAATGGCTGAAATGTGCTAGGCTGGGAAAATGAGATCTCACAGGTGTTTCCTTATTCCTTTTAGTTTGTTTTTTGTTTTAACATGGAAAGTCTGGTTGGTTACATCTCTACTATTCCAGTTTAATAGGTGTTTTTTAAAGTGTTTAATTAAATACTCTTTCAAAGCAGGCTGTTAATCTTAAATTTAAATCTGGACATTTAAAATGTAGTTATTTTTCAGGATGCCTCCGTATTTATTAGACCCTGTCAGGATAAACTTTGAAAGTTGAGGTATGGTTGTTTTTAAACCTGTTGTTGTTAACAAAATGCTGGTTGATCAGCTGATGGAGCAGGAATGCTTGTAGCCTGGATCTGAAGGTCTTCTCGGCACTTTCTCCTGAGCTAATTTTGAGCAATTACTTTAGTTCAAAT